AGAAGACACGCCGGTTTGAACAATCCCACGCTCAAAAGGACTTTCTTCTGGGAACAACAGCCACTATTTTCTTTTTTGGTCGAAAAAAGAAGCGCACCAGGCACAGGATTTTTGCCTCAAAGCGTCCTATTTCCTTACTTCAAGGAGATGAACTTGAGTGTCCACAAGGGAACAGAGAAGTTCCAAGGACAGCCAAGAGACTTAATAAAAAGCCAGTATTCTCAGCAAGTGCATTAAAATGGGACACAAGAGGAGGAGACTGTTAAAAAAAAACAGATAATGGGATGAAGCAAGTTTTAATTGCTTCTATTCCTTGCTTGCATCTTTTAAATACTGAAATACCAAGGGGTTTTTTTTCTTGCTTGATGCCATAGCATTATTTTTTATGTTAAAGCTGCAACACACAGATGGTGCCTGTGGGCCCTGACTTTCCACCAACACACCCATCAGCAGGGCAGATGTGTGAGGCCCAGAGTCAAGATGAAAAATAACAGGGGAGAAAAAGGGGCACGCTCTCATCCCTCCTGATTAATGCTATCTCGGTGAAGGGCTGGGCCTGCTCGCCCTACAAGGGCCAGTGATAACCAAGGATCTGAAAGGGGAAAATACCACTCGATGTATGCCCACGCTAGAGTGCTTGCCATGCTGGCGCAGGCACGCTTGCACACGTCGGGCGCTGCAGCCTCCTCACAGCTCTCACCCTGGGTGGGGTGTTTTGGTTTTTAACTCCCTGGCGTAACCTGCAAGCATCTTACCGGCAAGCAAGGCCACTGCAACAACCAGTACTTGACAGGGGCGAGGAGCTCGGCCGGGTTTGACCACCCCACAACTGCTCAGGGTCCAGCTGGTCGAGACCCAGGAAAGGTTCAGGTCAGATTCTGGTATCTAAACTCCGGAGAAAGCGCAAAGGCTTGAAAACAAGTGAATTCTGCCTAAACTGCTCCCTGCCCTCTCGACCATCTGCTGGCAGAACTCACAAAATAAGAAATACCAAGAGGGAAAAGCGTGACCATTCAGGTTTAATAGTGTAAAAAATAAATGGGACGTTATTTGATGTACAGAAGCACCACCCCGGGCAGCAGTGGGGCTGGCAGGTACCACGCACACCAGCAGCAGCTCCCTGCTCTGCGGTGGGTCAGGTCCCACTCTGCAGCGGCCCGGGGCCTGTTCACAGCCCGTGCTGCAGGTTGGGAGCTCCAGATGAAGCCCACTCCTCTGTCCCAAGGAGCGTGTGCCTTTGAAGATAATTAATGCCTTCTGCAGGACTTTAAACTCTCAACAATCAGAGCATTTCCTCGATGCTGAAAGGCATTTGCTTGTTCATAAATCCAGAGGCAGCAAGGCTGAAAGCAGCGTGGTGGCAGAGGGCAGTGCATCCCAACACCCGACCGCGGGCTTAGTCAGGCAATCCCAAGGAACATCCTTCACACTCCAGAAAACAAAACAACAAAAAAAGAAAAAAAGAGGGGAAAAAAAAAAAAAGAGAAGGCCCTTTGTGCATCTGAGAATTTGTTCTGAATCTGGGCTGCTGCGACAGTCCTGCAGGTGCCCTGATGCAGCTCTAAAACACCATCTCCCTCACTGATCACAAAGTTGCACCACAAGACTTAAGGCTTCAAATTAATTCAGCGCACAACTGGGGAGTAATTTGCTCAGATCCTGCCAGTGTGCACCAGACTGGAGAGCTGCAAGGTCAACCAACGGTCAGATACAGCTCTAGCCCTAAAAATAACCAGCCTCACTCTCTGCCTCTGCACAAGGCTGAACACAGCTCAGCGCTACCAGCCACGAGATGGCTGATTTCTCCTCTCTTCCCCCCGCTGCCCCCTCACTGTTGCCAGGAGAGACGTGGGGGTGCCGAGCAGCTCTCGCAAGATGCTGCTGTGGGAGATCTAGCTATGGGCTACGATTTAAAAGCAACTCAGCTCTTCTTGACGTTCATTTGACACTTCTGCCATTACTTCCCGACCTGGCAAAAAGCGGGACAAGCTGCCAGAAACCCCCCCAGCTGCCTGACCGGAGGCAGCACAGCCCATTCCCACAGCCTCTTGCACCGAGAAGCTCCTGGTTCCCCAGAAGTGACTCAGCTAACAAGGCCCAGGCAGAGGGAGGGAGCTGGCTTCCACCGCCCTGCTGCCAGGTGTCATTGTATCTGCACATGCTTTACGCCGCCAGCTTGAACTTCACCCTCGTTCAAAGAAATTCTAAACCTTTTCCCGTGAAAGGGCAGTCTAAGCACAAAGACATGCGCTATCTCAGCAGCATTTTTCCTAAAAACTCGTCAAAAATTGTTTCCTCTCAAAAACAATCCCAGTGTTCTTTGTGCACGCATTCCCACACGGTTAAGTGATACCTCCGCACCCCAGCGTGTGTAAGAGCACCGCTCCGGGGCTGGCGGGGGCCCCTCCTCCCCCGCACTGCAGTCTCTCCCAGAAGGAGAGTGTGGATCTGCCTTGCCCAGATCTGTCAGGACCTGCCAAAAGACCAGCGAGGCCAAGCCCTAGAGAAAGCAGCTCTGGTGAGGTGGCAGGGCTGGGGCTGCAGCAGGACCCCCTCCCCATCCTGTGCCTGCCAGCCAGGAGAGGGAGGGGGTCAGGATGCAAAACAAGCCTTTGGGACACGGGAAGAGGAAACAACAGGAAGCAACGACTTTCCCTGACAGCAGCACATCCTGACAGCCCGGTTCCCGATGAACTCACCCACTTCAGCCCTGGGTTTATTCTCGGCTGCCGCACTGTACCTGATGCCTGTTAAAAGGAACACGAGCACTCAGGAAATCTGGTGTGAAGCCAGCAGCCTCCGAAATACCCCCAAAGCCCTTCGGGAAATGCACCCCTAGAGAGGATCGTAGCCCAAGCACGGGGAGCTGGACTGGACACACGCAGTCCCTCCCCCATACAACATTTCTGTGTCAGGCTAGGACCAAGGCAGACGCCCAGACGAATGCTAGGTGACCTGGCTCCTTCAGGGAGCTCAAATTTACCCCATTGCCTCTATCTCGAGTCTCATCTGCTTCCTCCTCTCCTCATCAATGGGATGGAGGCAGAAGATGATTATGGCAATGAGCAGCAGGCTTATTGGGACTGGGGCCATGAGAAGCTGCAGGGTGAGGATGACGGAGGGGTTGTATGTGCAGTCTCCAGAACGGTAACCTGCAAAACTAAAGAGGAGAATGGTTTTCCTTCCCCCAGTCCCACTGGGCCACCGCAGAAAGGCAAGCAGGCACCTCCGTCGCTCTCCTCTAGTCTGGTATCAGAGGCCCAGTTTTGGGGAATTCCCACTCCTGTCTGCTCTGCTTGCTCCCAGTAGATGTTGGAAAGGCAAATTTGGATACCCCCGTGACTCATTCCAGCACCTCCTATCAGACACTCTAGAAACAGTAGAAAGTGCCTGCACTGGGCTGACAAAATAGGGGAGGTAGTGTTTGGGGCTTACTGTAAACTCAGTGTCGATATTCCCACGGCAAGGCCACCTGCAAACTTGTTGAAGAAGACGTAAAATGAGTAGAAGAGAGCCTCCAGGTTGAGGCAGCTGGGGTTCCTCAGCATGAAGTCATCCACCGTATCTGGCAGCATGGACCTGAGGACAGACAGCCCCACAGACATGTCGGTGACACCCACGCCAGCGACACCCACGCCAGCGCTGGCCAAACTTAGCTGCAGCCGCTCCAAGGCCTCTCCAAGCAGCAGAGAGAGACAGAAACCCCTTGCAGAACCCCACTCTGGAGACCGTTTTGTGCCTGTCCTCTGCCTTAGGCAAACAGGGCAGAGAGCGTCTTACAGAGAGGGTGCGGCAGCTGCTTCGGAAAAAGAGAAGAAAAAAAGCGCCT